ACAAATAGCTGTGCAGGTCTACATTAGTGATTCTCTGCAGCGAAAAGGCAAGAGAGGGGGAGAGGTAAGACAGAGGGGGCCAGCTCACCCCATATAATTTATCACTGCACTGCCATTCGCTCTCTGAAATATCAGCCTATTAAAACATTCATTGAGATGATTAAACTGCAATAAAATCTAACAAAATTTGCACTGACACTTTCAGTGCATGATTTATTAGGCCAAGGCTATGAATGTGCCGATGCAGCCCCGATGAACAGAGATGGGGGGGGAAAAATCAGGTGCTGCTGCCACCTGTTGGCTGACTGGGAGAAGAGTACTACAGTTTTTCTCTATTGCACAAACAAAGTTCCTAAAACTGAGGCCCTGTTTGTCAAAACTCCACATACAAACACCAATAAATACAATACATCTTGTGTCTCTTGCAAAAGAAAGCACTACATTTAAAACAGTATAAAAAAAAATTACACACAAATGCCAAATAAATAGATCGTTCCATTGCCAACTGGCCATGCTAAATCTAAAACGTATTTTTTTTACATTTCTACTCTTCTAATTATATACAGTACGATACACTATGGATGTATGTCTTGGGCATTTTCATTTGTAGTCTGTTGTAAATATGAACACAATGCAATGTGGAAACAAAATCTCCTTGTTCTCAATACTGAACTGAAGTTGAAAATACAGTAGGAAATATTGTTATTATTGTTTTTTTATCATTGCTTTAACACTAAAATAAAAACACCACTCCTTTTCCAACATGTTTACTTTGTGTTGTATATGTTTGCTGAGTTTATGTTTAGGTTAACTTTAGTATAATTTATTGCTTTTGTCATTTATTTATTTCACTAGGCTTCTTTTTATTTAACATGTTTAATATTAATATATCAATCAATCAATCAATCAATCAATCAATCAATCAAAACTCAACACACAAAGAGGAAAACATCAACCCAGATCTGCACAACATCATATAGGACTGGATACGCCAATCAAGACGACACTACTCTCAATGATTGGCCAGAGAGGAAGTCACTTGTGATTTCTTTGGGATCTGATTGGTTACAGGTGTCTTCACATGTGCATTCTCAGTTCAGGTCATTGCTTAATAAGTGTGGTGTTTCAGTGGCAGTGTTTAGCAATAAACAAACACTGACTGTCAGTTTTGAATTATGTGTCTTAGAGCAGTGTGTCTGGTAATTCTATATGAGTTTGTCACCTTTTGATTACACATTTGAGCAATATCATGACTCCCCTATTAGTATATATTTTACAATTTCATGTAAAATCTAAAAGCCAAAGTCTTATCTCAAAACTTTTATTCAAGACCGTTTCATTTGGTCTTATTTCTTGTTCATGTGAATCGGATAGTTGTTAAAGCTACATTATGTGACTCTTTCAAGGTGTACAATAAATTAAAAAAAACACTTGGCAAGTACATGTTCACTTTATTACAGCTGCAACCGATGGTTTTTAAAGGTAAACAGAAGGCATGAAAAATGGTTTGGTATAATAATATGTGATATGTAGCTTACGATTTAAATGTCTATTATGTTATGATAATTAGATTAACATACATTTAGAAGACAATTTTCAATCATTGTCAATCGCCTTACCATTTTACCGTCATTTTCTTTTAATCCTATTCTATTTCACACAGCGCGATCTAATTACTTCCTGTAAATGTCCCATAATTGGAGACTGTGCAGGGTCAGATTGTAACAATATCCAGTCCACATCTCACTGCATTAGACGTGGTGGAAGTGTTTCGTGTTGAACTGTTGTTGTATTGATCCAAATGGTTTATTACAGGCTGTGTGAGTGATAATACTATCCCTGAAGAAGGAAGGGGGGGATTACCTGGAAATAGTGCCATCGATTCGGGTTTGCCTCAGGAGAGCGCTACACGTTGTTCAACCCACCAGGGGCACGCAGTGTCAGCAAACAAACTCCTACTGAGACATGTGTTTATGACAAGCAGCCTTTTGTCCACGGTGATGGATCTGCTTTAGACGTCATTCTGCTGGTCTGGGAGGGTTTTGGAGTAAGGAAGGGCTGGAGTCATGGCCTCGACAGAATTCATGAGCTGATAAATTAAAATCATATTATTAATGTACTCCTTTTTTTAATTGCATGATGCCTGTACTTGTATGTGTTCTTGCTTTTGTATCTCTTTAAGGATCCATTTGGTTTTGAATGAGGAGACTTTGAAAGAAGTGAGGGAGGGAACACTTTGGCTTCCTTATAGCAAGGACTAACAATTTATTTTGGGGGGAAAAAAAGTTTTACTATTAAATTCCAGATTTTAGTAGTAATAATAATAATAATAATAATAATAGTTGAGAGGTGACGACTCTACCAACTGAGCTACAGCCGCCTCTCCTCAAAATAATAATTTACATGCAAAAATTTAAGGAGTGATGGCCAAAACAAGTTAAAACATGTGATTACTGTCATTATCCATCATATTCATCTTATAGTTATGCAATAATGAGATATATCAGAAACTCTTAACAGTCCCCTGTAAAGATGATGACTTATCTGTATCAACAAAATAGAATATAAAGCAAATACAGGAGTGCAAGGGGCCACCCATCCATTCAGTTACTATCGGGAAGTCTAAGTAAGGCTTATTCAGAGCATTAATAAATGGTTAATTATGGTTAAGTAATGCTTATTCAGAGCATTAATAAATGGTTAATTATGGTTAAGTAATGCTTATTCAGAGCATCTATCTATCTATCTCTCTATCTCTCGATCTCTCTATCTATCTATCTATCTATCTATCTATCTATCTATTTATCTATCTATCTATCTCTCTATCTATCAATCTATATATCTATCTATCAATCTATCTATCTATCTATCTATCTATCTATCTATCTATCTATCTATTTATCTATCTATCTATTTATCTATCTATCTATCTATCTATCTATTTATCTATCTATCTATCTATCTATCTATCTATCTATCTATCTATTTATCTATCTATTTATATATCTATCTCTATCTATCAATCAATCTATCTATCAATCTATTTATCTATCTATCTATCTATCTATTTATATATCTATCAATCTATCTATCTATCTATCTATCTATCTATTTATATATCTATCAATCTATCTATCTATCTATCTATCTCTATCTATCAATCTATCTATCTATCTATCTATCTATCTATCTATCTATCTATCTATCTATCTATCTATCTATTTATCTATCTATCTATCTATCTATCTATCTATCTATCTATCTATCTATCTATCTATCTATTTATCTATCTATCTATCTATCTATCTGTCTATGGGTCTTGAGTGTTTTTTAAGACTTCATCACTGCGTCTGCATCCACAAGTCCTGCTTCTATTCAAAGACAAGTTAAGCCAGCTGCCTGGTTCCCCTTTATTCACTCTTGTCACTTTAATTCTTCAGTGAGTTTTTTCTTTAATCTGAAATCAGTGTCTTCAGGTATTGGACATAAACACATTCTAAAGTGTTTTTTTATTTTAATTTCAATAGTGATTATATTGAGCTACTTGGTATGAATGCTTTTTTGTACTTCTCATATAACATAAAGTCATGTATTTGGTTATCTTGAAGATGAGGATCCATACATTTGGAAAACAAAGTTCTATATACTGTACTCAACTTAAACTAGATTAGCTTAACAGTCACAAACCCCTCCAGACAGCGTTTTGTTATCCATCTGATTCTTAACTCTGTACATGAAAAGCCATTGAACAAGACTTGTGGAAGAAGAGTCAATAAAAAAGGGACAATAACTGACATATATTATGGGGGTTTTGGGGGTTAGTCTCACAAAGGGAGATTACTTAAATCAGAAATGAAAGATTGGAATTAATGGAATTTATATCTTTATTGAAATTGGTTTATTTGACTTGCTGGGTTAATATGATATATTTTGTTTAGAAAGTGATACAAACTATTTTAATGCACTTCCCTCATACACACTCCTCAGTGACCAGCCTATCAGCTGCAGCTCACAGCCAAAGGCATGATAAGAACAGTGGGTGTAAACCAACCTGCTTGTTACAGATAGAGCATGTTTCACTGTGGTGAAACATGGAGCAGAGAAAGAATCTAACGAATTATGTCTGAGCATGTCTTTTGCAGAAAAGGTGTACCATGTGAGTGATGAACTACTTGATTCTTTGGATGAATTATAGGAGGAGTTTCTATAATAACAGTTTATTAAAAACCTGGTCAATTTGTTTCGGTTGTCTTTCCCCAGTTGGTGATGATGACCTCTCAGCACCTGAATGCAACAGTGAGACAACCTTGACCTCTGATTCAGAAGGGGATGCTGGTGGGATAAACAATTTAAAGACTTTAAACACTACGATTTCGGAAAGTGTCTCGAATAGTGCAGCTGTAGAACACAACGGGATACCCAGTTTTAAAGATCCCTTCATTATATCCTTCCATAATGTAATTTCTAATGGTTTTATATTTGCTATTGGTTGTAAAAAGGATATGATAACAGACTTAGAAACAAGGTATTACATCTGTTTTCTAAAAGGTCAAACAGTACACAGCTTATGTCTGACAAAGACAACATAATGGAGACAATAAAACCTTTTAAACAAACATGACGTAAGGAAGTAAAACTGAAAAGAAAACTACAACCAAATGCACATTTGATTATGTTTCTTAAAACAATATTTGACAGGAACTTTAACAGGATTGGCGATCAAGTGGGCTGAAAGTATTTGTGTGTGTGTGTGTGTGTGTGTGTGTGTGTGTGTGTGTGTGTGTGTGTGTGTGTCTGTGTGTGTGTGTGTCTAACTCTAAATCTAAATATGTTACCTATGTGTGCCTCCTTCAGATAGTTAAGCTGCATACCCCTTCTCCTGCTCTTACTCAGCATAGCAGCAGGCTGTGTTACAGGTGAGAGGCTCCATGCTGTAGCAAGGATTGCAGGCATTTTTTTTTAAAGACCTTTTTCCCTCAGACAGCTCCAGCTCCAGGACCATGGCACAAAAGGCTCCTGTGGACCCAACCAAGATAGGAGAGGGTCGGGCGATCGCTGTGCTGACATCGGGAGGCGATGCCCAGGGTGAGTGGAGGGTCTCTAGGGCATGTGCAAGCGCCAATGTGAGCATGTATGCTGTTTGTCTTACTCAGCAGGTGTTGAGAGGATCGAATGTGTGAAGTTGCTGCTTAGTGTTAGGGGTTCTTGAATGAGGTAATATTTTAGGGGTTAAGTGAGTCATATAGAAATCTGGAATACAAGTTTTGATGACTCTTGAATATAGTCTTGGTTGTCTTGGAGAACTGACTGCACTTTAAGGAGATATTTAAGCTAAAAATGTATCATTAGCATTTCGACACAAAGTAATAATTTAAATGATCAAAAACACCAAAATAAATATTTATTTTGGAAAACATAAAACAGTAAACTTTGCATTTAATTTCATATTAAATCATGGTTGCACTGATCTTGTCCAGTAAATTTGCCAACTTGTAATTTTCATGACTTTTAATGATACATTCAAGACTTCTCCACCAGACAGATGTATTCATTTTAAAAATCCAGCTTATTAAAAAAAAAGGGGGGGGGGGGGTTATCACATAGAGCTGCTAGGATCACTGAGTGGGCTGAATCTCCTCTGACCTTTAACTTGATGAGGAATATCTTCACGGTGACCTTTGGAATATGTGTCAGTGACCCACATAACACTGTGTTAGTTTTCCATCTGTCAGTTTTCATGCCCATCTTAACTTCATAGGTCCCCAATCAGGTTTTATATTGTAAAACTGCAAAGCTCACTAACCCTATACCCATTCTCCATTCACTCTTCAAATAATAACTGTCTCATTACAAATTTACCTGAGAGTCATCATTAGACCTTTAAGTTATTTCTCCCTGATACTTCTTGTTCTCATTCTAACGCGTTATCTGGTATGAGGGCTAAATTTAGAGGTATGACCTTTCAGTCATGTTAGTAAAGATGTTTGTTGGAGTGAGCCATCCTGCTCCTCCTGTCTGCCCTTTCCTCTCTTACACTGTAAGCAGAGATACTTTTGGCAGTCTACAAGCTAATCTATATCTTGTCCTTTAGGCGACCTGCTGAGTGTTGAGTGTGGCAGTTCATGGAAAGACTGCATACTCAAATATAAAATCAGGCATAATTCACTCAGAATCCATGAAAAAAATATTAATTCTGCAATCATTTTTGCACAATTATGAACACAGCTACGAAAAATAATATTTCCCAATGCTTTTATAGCAAATCTTTCTGTGTGTGATCACAAGGATCTCGCATAAGGATATCGACTTACTTCTACACACACATTGTTCTTTCAGGTATGAATGCAGCTGTGAGGGCCACAGTTCGAGTAGGACTTTATACTGGAGCCAAGGTGTATTTTGTCCATGAGGTAAAAACGATTTATTTATTCTCACTCGCATTTTACATTTTTGTTCCAACATCTGCAAAATAAATCGAGAAAATTGTCAGCCATTAAATTCACAGGGCTCAATTTAGAGTCTTTTTTTGCAGGTTCAGTCTATCCAGTAATTCCAAACACAAATCAAACAACTGAGAACCAGCGAATGTCTGCCGTTTTTCTATGAGATTAACTTAAGTGATAAATCAATAGCAACATTTGCTTTTGATGGACAATTTCCAGTACTATGTTATTGCCTAAAAACACAAAATCACTATTACCTTTAAGTATATTGTAAACAGAAACCATGTGGAATCAAAGAAATTGCCTATATGTCAAATTAGACAAAGCCTGAAGGTTTTTAGATGACCTTTTCAAGAAGGTGATGTGTGTTGCCGCTCTGTTTGTTGTCAGGGTTACCAGGGTCTGGTGGATGGAGGCGACAACATCTGCCTTGCTACTTGGGAGAGTGTGTCAATGATGTTACAGCTGGTGAGAATAAGCACATAGATGAAAAACCATGTTAATTGGATGTTTATCATGTCACTGCTGTTTTAAACATTTGTTCAGCTTACCACATAAGACAGATGGATGATCTGTGTAACTGTAGCAACCCATATGGTCCTATAGTGAAACTCTGAAGGTCAAAAGGTTAATTAAATGCCAAGGTTCCATTACAATAGATTTCATGGATCTTAAACATTTAAAAGCTTATAGGTTACAGATCATTCTCCTTCTCCTATTCTGCTTCTTCATGATTTGTGGTGTCCCGTTGCCTGACATGAGGGTGGGACGGTGATTGGTAGCGCTCGCTGTCAGGATTTCCGCACCAAAGAGGGACGCGCCAAAGCTGCTTGCAACTTAGTCAAGCTGGGCATCACCAACCTGTGTGTGATTGGAGGTGACGGCAGTCTGACCGGTGCCAACCAGTTCAGAACAGAGTGGAGTGAGCTGCTGGCTGACCTACTTAAAGCTGGTGAGAGGCAAGACCCTAAAGTTCACTTTTCTGAGAAACATAGTCTAAAATTAAGCGTATGTGGAACAATCAACAATGCAACGAAGAAAATAGAAAATAAATGCTTATCTCAAATTAAAAGCCTACAGAAGGTTCTGGCCATTATCAGAGCTCAAACTGAACTGTATCTGAAGGTGTTTTAATGTGTTCAGGCAAGATCACGTCAAATGAGGCCAAGTGCTCCTCCCATCTCAACATCGTTGGCATGGTGGGCTCCATTGACAATGACTTCTGTGGCACAGACATGACCATTGGCACAGATTCTGCACTGCATCGCATAATAGAGATAGTGGATGCCATCACTACCACAGCTCAGAGGTTTAATACAACTTTTCATATATTTGATTTATGGAAAGAGCTGTTATGCAGTTTGAAGAATCTTGACATGAAATGTCTTATTTTGCAGTCACCAAAGGACATTCATCCTGGAGGTAATGGGCCGGCACTGTGGGTAAGTAAACTCTTTGTGTCTGCTTCTTAAGCACAATTTATTCATGTGGACACATAGTCTATACGGTACTGTAATTGGGTTTATTAGATTCATTAGCACAAGGTTTTCTGCTCTACTGAAGACCAGGAAATGAATTGAGCCCATGCCATTTGACAGTGAAGGGTAGATGTTGACTGTTTTATGTAAAACAATTTTTTATGTAAAAATGTCATCTTCTGCCACCATGGCAACAAGGCTTTCTAAAAATATTCCTGTTTATTTCAAGATTTTAAGACTAACATAGTTTTTTGGGGTTTTTTTTACATAAGCTTCAGGTTCTTGACTTAATAGGTTATAAGTTTTGCGAACTAACCTAGCTTGTTATTCTTTATCTACAGATACCTGGCTTTGGTGACAGCTCTGGCCTGTGGAGCAGACTGGGTGTTCATCCCTGAGATGCCTCCAGATGAGGGATGGCAGGAGCATCTTTGCAGAAGACTGGCAGATGTAATTGTCTTGTCCCGCATCATCCTCACGACTAGTTTGAATCTAGCTAAAAAAAGGTCTGCATGCCAGTTTTAATGGTTTCCTTATTCCTCTCAGCAAAGAGTCCGCGGGTCCCGTTTGAATATTATCATTGTTGCAGAGGGAGCGATTGATCGTGATGGTAAACCTATTACATGTGACCTTGTCAAACAGGTCAGCAATGGCAAAACAACAGCACATATATATTGGCTCTTCTTATGATGCAGACTACTACAAATATCACCTTTCTGTCTAGCTGGTTTCAAAGAAGCTCGGCTTTGACACCCGCACCACTATCCTGGGCCATGTACAGAGAGGAGGAACACCTTCGGCCTTTGACAGAATCCTGGTAAATTGCATCCATGTATTTAAAACAAACAAAAGTTCACCTATGAATATTATTTATTTGTTAATTTTGCTCCCCAGAGAGGAGTTTGTTTCTAAATCATGCAGTGGTCTGTATGTATATAAACACAAAGTGGCAACAAAGTTAAGCTTGCATTCAGCTCAGCAGCAGGATTCTACTGCAGGGCTGTCTTTTGGGGGGTTTCTAACAAGATATGTGCCCTCTGGTGGCCCTACAGGCTTCTGTTCTTTTAAAACATATTTTTATGCAAATTGTTATTTCTTGACAACCTTTTTAACCTCTTAATAATCTTCCTTTTTTAGCTTAACACTTTATACATTTTTATGAATTATGTACACATTTTTTAACTCTTTACACAAACATTGTGAAGAAACATCATGTATCTGCTTTGATAAGTGTCTACTTTTTATATTATCATGATTCAGGCTAGCAGGATGGGGGTGGAGGCAGTGATGGCTCTGCTGGAAGCTACACCAGACACTCCCGCCTGTGTAGTCAGCTTATCTGGAAACATGGCTGTCAGACTGCCTCTCATGGAGTGTGTGCAAGTGGTGAGACAAACCTTCGCCTGCAGTCTGTACAAAAAATGAAGAGGGCCTTAGCTGCATGTGCTGTTTTTTAGCTTTACAATAGATGGCAACTATAAGTTTGGTATTTCCCATAATATTAGGAATCAATCCTCAACCTTACTTTCTTTTTTACCAGACTAAAGATGTCACTACAGCCATGGCTGAAGGGAGGTTTGAAGAGGCTGTGAAGCTCAGGGGAAAGTGAGGCATGCAAATTTGTGTTATCCATGTGAAGTTTATGAGTTTTGTGTTCTGTTTTTAATTATATGCATGATGTTTGCCTATAGGAGCTTTGAGAACAACTGGAACACGTACAAAATGCTTGCTCATGTACACATCCCAGATACAAAGGTAAGGAACTTTACAGTCTGACTGTACATCAAACTGTCTCTAACAGTAAATTAGCCCCACCTTGAACCACATTATTGTGACAAATATCTCATGTGCTTGTGCCAGAGTAACATCAACATCGCCATATTGAATGTTGGAGCGCCATGTTCTGGGATGAACGCTGCAGTTCGGTCAGCTGTCAGGATCGGGCTCCTCCAGGGCCACCAGATGCTGGCAGTGCATGACGGCTTCGATGGCTTGGCCAATGGAATGGTGAATTGTAGTTACACACACATTAACAAACAGGAGGGCTTCTTCTTTCATTACAGTTAAGTAGATTTATTAAAAATGCATAGCAAAGCACGTTATGAAGTGAGTAATTTGTCCCCGCACAGATTGAGCCTATTGGTTGGTCTGGTGTGGCCGGATTGACGGGAAAAGGGGGCTCCATGCTGGGCACAAAGAGGTGATCAAACAAATCTTCTGTTTTGTATTGTAATCGTAATGCATGTGTAAGATTTGTAAATGGCTGAATATATTTTGATTCAGTGTTTTTCACTTTATTAAAGATCCCTGCCAAATGAGTTCATGGAAGAGATCAGTCTCAACATCACTAAGTTCAACATTCATGCTTTAGTCATTATTGGTGGCTTTGAGGTAAGCAGCTCATTTATGACTACAATAGTCTATCCTAGCAGGTACTAACACTAAGCGCACTAAGGAAGCATGTTCATGACAAAATCACTCAATTGCATTTTTCCTCCTCCCTTCCTGTCTTCTAGGCATTTGTTGGTGGTTTGCAGATGGTGCAGGCCAGAGAAAAGTATGAGGAACTTTGTATTCCCCTTGTAGTGGTTCCTGCTACTGTCTCCAATAATGTTCCTGGGTCTGACTTCAGTATCGGCGCTGATACTGCACTCAACACTATCACTATGGTAAAGTTCTCAATCAAATGTAATAAATGACAGCCCAACTTTGACCGAAAACCAATTCTTTCTCTATCTTTTTTTCATCTTAATTCAGACATGTGACAGAATCAAACAATCTGCTGCTGGCACCAAGAGGAGGGTGTTCATTGTTGAGACCATGGGAGGATACTGCGGATACCTGGCAACCATGGCTGGTTTGGCAGCTGGAGCTGATGCTGCTTATATTTATGAGGAGCCTTTTAACATTCATGACCTCAAGGTCTGTCTTTATGAACATTCTTAATAGCGGAAGTAATGACATATATCTGTGATGGATTGAGGGTTTAGAGTTGATTTGTCTTTAGTTGAACGTAGAACATCTGGTGGAGAAGATGAAGACCACAGTGAAGAGAGGACTCATTCTGAGGTTTGCAGGAATCAGTGTAATTGCTTTTCTGAGTACAATTCAATTCACCGCCTGCATCTCAAGGCAAATATTCTACTTTTGTTCCAGAAATGAGAAATGTAATGTCAACTACACTACAGACTTTATCTTCCAACTGTACTCAGAGGAGGGCAATGGTGTGTTTGACTGCAGGAAAAACGTGCTTGGGCACATGCAGCAGGTGGGCAACTAGCCACTATTTTTATTTTGCACAACCAACTAATAGATCTTCTTTTTACTTTAAACAGACTCATTACACTTGCCATAACATTCAATTGCACACACCTAAGGGCAGCTATCTTTTTTATTAGGGTGGAACACCAAGTCCTTTTGACAGGAATTTTGGCACCAAGATGGGGATCAAATCTGTGTTATGGTTGACTGACAAGCTGAAGGAATGCTACCGACATGGTGAGGACATGATCTCCAAGAATACATTAAATATTTAACACGATTGAACTTCTTGTGCTCTTTGTTCTAACATATAGCTGTCATTATTTTTTACCTTAAACCCCCAGGTCGTACCTTTGCCAACTCTCCAGATTCAGCCTGTGTGCTGGGCATGAGGAAGAGGTCTTTGGTCTTCCAGCCTCTTGCAGAACTTAAAGACCACACTGATTTTGAGTAAGATTTCTATACTGTCTAAATATTTTTAATTTCTTCTCTTATGCTAAGTATATACAATGAAACATTTAAGTTAGCTTTTCTAAACTAGAGTAAGAACATTATATATTGCATCACCATGGTCACAGCAAGCAAGGAGAGGAAAATTACAGAAACAATTGACCAGAGTTATAGGACTTGTAAACTGGAAGGCAGTCTAGTGCACATTTTTCCGTTGAAAAGACAACTTAAAGCCAACAAAAGACATTCATAAGTAATTCAAATGTGAACATTTTTCCCTCTACTATTTAAGATGATAGTTTACTGAGAATTCTGCTCCTGTCACAAGATTCATGACACATTCACACACAGGGATTGCCAAACTGCTTCTAATAACTATGGTAACTAATTTGATTGGAAAGTGAGCAGTGCATCACAGTTGCCAACCATTATCAAATTTACAAAACAGTAAAGTGTGTCGTGACCATATTCAAGCCAGTTGAAAAATAGTTGAAAAAAAGGTCTTGAACAGCTTGATCCTATTTCTCCCTTTTTTTCAACCAATTTTCAACACTGAAATCCAACTTTAAGTATTTTAATATACACATTTCGAGCTTCCCAGCATGAGCTTAACTCCAGAGAAAATGGCCTCTGTATGACCATGGTGAACAGATTCTTCTTGTGGGTTTGATTTGAAGTCGTCTGATCCCTTGTGGTCAAAAGAACTTAACCCAACTTGGATTTGAAATATCTCACTTATATTGCTTGGTTACCTGGCACAATTGTTTTGTTGTTGTATTTTTTTTCTTTGTGCACTGGCATTTTTTTGTACTCCACAGACACCGTATTCCAAAGATACAGTGGTGGCTAAAGTTGAGACCCATCCTGAAAATCCTGGCTAAATACAAGATCAATCTGGACACCACTGAAAGAGCTGCAATGGAACACATCATTAAGAAGAGGGGATTAGCTCCTTAGTAGACATGAATGTCCTTTTCTTAAAACACTGCGTAAACCATCTCTCTGAAAAGTGCAATATTAATCAAAAAGATGATAATAAAATCTCTGGAAAAAAAAACACTTTCTCTTAAATGTTTTATTTATTCACACTTTGTACATTTGTTTACTCACTCAATGAGCCCTTGGAAGACTGATCTGACATAAGAGCAATGAAACATCTTTTGGTGGAGGGGGGCGGGGGGTCACTTCTCTATTAGCTCTGCACTTCTTATTCTGAAAGTTTTCCCAATGCTTCTTTGAAAAAACTGTTTAAGCCCTGTCATGGTTAATGGGGACTGGAAATGAAAAGCATTGTAAGCATTATTTGTTGATTTATTATTATTATTATTTGTTGGTCCTTGACCTGCACTTTGGTAAATAATGTATACATTTATTGTGTAATATAAGCCTATAATAAAAATTGCTCCGCTCCAGCAGACTCTATACACTCAGATGATCTAGCTGATTGTGGAGTTTGCTTTATTGGATTGGAAAGCTGACAAGTGAGGAAATGTGGGATGAGAGTGTGGGATGACATGCAGCAAAGGGCCAAGATCAGGTTAGAAGCCCATGACCTCTGTACATGGGGTTCACGCTCTGACCACTGAGCTAAACCCACGCCCCTGTGTGATGGATTAAGATGACTCAAACCTCCAATCAATATAGCTGTCCATCTAGCTAAGCCTCACTTCTGTCTACATAGTGGTTCAGGGATGACAATAAAAACTACAATACCCACAAGTCCCTATTTTTCCGGTTAAACCGGAAGAGCAATCTGATTGGTTAGCAAACACCTTTCAAATGCAGTGCGCGGCGGCGCAGAGTCGATGGTTGTTGAAGATTTGAATCTTTTACTTCACAACACAAGTTTAGCAGCGGCCGAAAAGCTGCTTGAATATGATATTCTGAACAACGAATCTGCTTTTTTATCTTTTCTGAATAAAAGTGTTGCTACGGAGCTTTCCTCTGAGAGTAAGTCACAGGTCAGTCTCTGGGTTATGAAACGTTAACGTTGCTACGTCATGTTGTGGTTAATGTCGCTAACGTTAGCTAAACTTTTAACTTTCAGTGTCAAAGTAACACGACTTGGTTTGATTTTGTTACAGTTGTCAACATGAAGTGTTTGAAAGCGGAAGAATACATCAAACGGACTGCCTCTGTGAAAGAGACGGAGCTTTTATTTCGTGAACTGCAGGTTAGTATCTTTAGTAACATAAATCACGTTTATACCTTTTAACGCTTTGAGAGTTTATAGTTTCACCAGAGGACATGGTTAAATGTGGAACTTCAAAAACGGGATTTTAAACAAACCGAGAGTTCTATTTTCTGTATTTAGATTTGGTATGTTTGGTGTGTTTTATATATAAACTATATTACAGTGACGTATGAGAAGAGACACTGAATCTGACATGTTTTCTTAATTTTCATATTGTTACATTTTGCAGGAGTTCATTAAGAGTAATCCAGGCATTCAGGGCCGCACACTGTGTGACAGGGTCATCAGAGCCTGTAACCATCACCTTGGAGCTGGGTGCCCTGACTATGACCATGTGAGTCAGTTGGTACAGCTGGTGGAGCTCTCCCTTCAAGGCTATGATATTTCTGCAGCAGTTGTTGCCCAGAGCAGTCCTCTGTACATGGAAAAGATCATTTTCCATATTGTCAAGAATTTAAGCTCCCAAGGACCTCATAGTTTATGCAGCCATGTAGCTGGGTTACTTTACAACAGGCTTACAGTCCCAGCCCAACAGGTGTGTATCGTCTTCTTTTCAACAGAATTCAGTAAAATGTGATTTTTCTTTATCTTTAGCTTTGGCACTAACAAAGAAACCTCTTGTATGGTTCATAGGCTGAGGACTACTGCGTCCTCGTGCGAAGCTGCTTCTCCGTGCTCTGGAACGGACTCTCTGCCTCCAAAGACAAGAAAATATTGAATCCTCGAGACCAACTCCACTGCCACATACAAGCCCTGGGCTTCCTCCTGCTGTTGGACACAGAAAATGCAACTACCTCTATCTCAAAAGCTCCTATTTACGCAGAGGATGCCATCAATGAATTTGAGACCAGTTGTGGAGTGATAACAAAGGAAGATGCTTCTTTCCTTCTGCAGGAAGTGCACGCACTTTTCAACAACTGCTGGACCAGTACTCAAGACTTTGAGGGGAATGGGCTCAAGCACTCTACTAAGCGATCATGTTTATATGTGCTTTCTGAAATGGTGCTGGTTATAGTTAAGATGCTTTGTAAGGCCGGACACCATGATCTGGCCTCCACCTTCATGAATGAAATTGAGAGCAAGATCAAAGACCATGTTGACTGTCAATGTACAGCTGTGGTGCTTGGGAAATGGGCACTGAAAATTCATTCAACGACGAAGGCTGGTGGAGAGAGCGGCCAGGCTTTGAAAGAATGTGCAAGAGCCTTGAGGTGTCTTTCATCTGACCTGGGGGACCAAGAAGCCCATGCACTTCAGGAGGGATGCGGACTGGTCATGTGGGCTGTGGAAAGTGGCGACTCTAAGGGGTTAAGTGGGCCTTTGCTTCTGGCTTGGTTTTCATTTCTTGAGGAGTACCAAGAACTCATATTGAAGATGTTAAAGAAGGTGAGAGTAATTACTGACCAGGAGAATAGTTCAGAATATCTGTCCATGTGTCATTCTTTAAAGTCAGAGTTGTACAGGTTACTAAGCCTGTTTTCGTTCTTTTCTTCTTTTTTTTTTTACAGGATGGGAAATGCCAGGCAGAGAGCAGCAGACTTCAACAGGCTCTTTGCTTCAGTATTTACCAGGGGTTTGTTTTCGCTTATGAGAGCATGCTCGCATCACAGGTGAGGCTGATCTTCTGTAACGTCAAGTTGGCAGATGATTCACACAGTAACAACTTGTTTTCAGAGTTCTTAAAGTACTTGGTTTAGGATTTAGTGTGGAATGTGATTTCTTGTTTACAGCTGGAGGACGGTGACACGCTGGAAAGAGTGCTGCTGTACTGCCAAGCTACTGTTGGACTAATGATGACAGAACTTCGAAAATTGCCCAGTGAAAACCTTCTTGTCAAAGCAGGTAACTTGGTAGCTTAGCTTTCATGTAAATTCTAATGTTAATGTATATCAATTATAATAATATCAAGTGTCAATGTGTTTATTTAATCTTCCGTCTAGTGGTCGCAGTCAGCAACTTGGCTTGTGGATTGTACAACCGGCGTCTCTACAACCAGGGCTTCACGCTGGTTGAGATCCTCTGCAGAGATTTATCCAAGAATGTCCCCGCCTCGCTTTCTGTGGACAGAGTAAGCGATTTAAGTGTTTTGTTTGAATACGTCTAACATTGTCCCTGTTTGACAAAATACACATTTTCTATCTTATCTGTTCGAAATGACTTTGCTTTGCAGACACAGGATTACCTTATGGTTGTAATTGGGGTTTTGGTTTTAGATGAGCTACATTCTCAATTGATCCCTGAAGAATCAGTTGTACATGAATCTTTTTAGTCATTTATATCGTTATCATGTCATTTCATCATTTAGCTGAGCAGACTCTTCATGCTGGCCGTGCAGACGTCTCGGCGGGCCGGACATCTGGCTCGAGCACTGGACTGGGTGATCATGTGGCTGAAGACTCTGGGGGACAAAATCACTACTCATATGTCTGAACCGGTCTCTCTGTGGGTGAAAACAAAGACTGACGCAGCCCGAAATTCTGAGGAAGACATCCGTCTCAGGTACAGACATAATTAACTTCTTTGTTGTTATTGTTAAAAAAAAGTATAAAGTTATGAATCAAAGTTAATTAATGGGATAATAATGGAAAAGATTATTCTTAAAGTTGTTTTGTCCCATCCCAAAACAGGACTTTACATGACGGTTTTTGTCCTGATGTCCCTGATGAGCGAATAATGCTTTGCCTCTTGGAGGAGGAGCTGCGTGCCTATAAGGAGGTAGCAGGAGACACATCTCAGGAACGTTACAACACTCTGTGTGATCTGTTGGACATCTGCCACGAGGAGAGCTCTCACACTCACCTACGTGCCGTGTACCTCTGTGAAATGGCCCAAGTTGTGTGTTACCAGGATTTCAGTGAGCAGACTGACTGGTAGGAGATTTGAGTTTTCTTTTCTTTTTAAGCGTTTTTCATTTGTAGATACAAATCTGCTGATTTGTACGAGATTCAAATGTTGTGTTTAGAGTTCTAAGTGTAAAACACAACAAATCAAATATTCATTCCTGCTAAGCCAGACTGTGCAGCAATTAACTGTTTTGAGTGTTGATATTCATTGATTTGACTACACAGCTCAGCAGTTGATTTTACCCATGAGGCTTTGCGACTCCTGGAAGAAGAACCAGAGACTCCAGAGAAGTCTGATAGACTGAAGGATGACAGAGCCCATGCTTCACTTTGGCTCTTTATCTGCACCCTTGAGAAGAATCTCCAGGAGGTGAGCTTTGTTCAACCTGTCGGTACATAATGGACGTATTGTGTAGTTTATTCATCTTAATGTAACGAAATAACACATTTTTAGAAAATGTTGTATCATAATTCAAGAAAATAAATGACAGCATGTATTCAACATGTAGTATTCATGTTTTATGAACAGCTACAGTAATAATTAATGACTGTTTAACTTCAAATCAACTATCTGGGATTTAGTATCCATTCCGTGCACTGACCACATTTCTTGTGATTATTGATGCATGTGTTCTTTGCAGGCAATCGAGAGAGACAAAAAACAGCGGGAGTTGCGTGAGCAGATCCGATGTGCAGCCAATCCCATAGGAACCAATGACTTCGATTATGAGGACAAGCAGAAAACACAAGAAAGCTTCATGGTCTATGAAGGCCTGCATTTCAACCTGGCTGCAGAGAACAGTAGGAATCTCCTTTTTTTTTTTATATATATTGTTTGAACTTTAGAAACGTGTGATATGATGATGATGCATTGTATCGTTGTGTTGTTCAACACTAAGACTACTTTTAAATGTAGATAAAAACATATGCGTTCGTACAGATACTCACCATTATCCAATGAGTCATGCTTTTAGAGGTTGTTTTGTTTTACCCAAATCAAAAAACCACATCAGCTCAAAGTTCAGTAACATAGAGGGAAATGCTTATAATGCTAACATCTTTTATCCTTTAGATATTCTAGATTTCATTGGAGCCTTTGTGACGTCTGTTTCTTGAGTTTTTGTAGATTTTTTTTTTTTTTTTTTTTCAGTTGTAAATGAGTTGCATGTTGTGTAATGTTTGTGTGTTGTGTTAAATGTTTGTGAATGTGTACATTGCTATCTAAACTGCAGGCCGCAGGAAGAATAGCTTCTTGCTTATGAGGATCAGAACCAAGAGTAAAGTTTGTTGGTTGATTAAGAAGAGATGTTGTCCCTTAATGTCTGTTGACACTGTTAGAGATACTGTTAGACATTGTTTTCTTGTCCTTAAAGAGTTGTGCAAGCCTTTGGAAAGAGCCCTGGATGAATGGTCAACACTTCTGCAGAGTGAAGTCCTTCCTTCTGTCAGAAACCCCAAGCAGACCTGCAGCTCCATTGCTTTGACTGCGACTCTTTTCAAGCTCATGGGAAAGGTAACATACACAGAAGCTGGTTAGTGTTGTGTATATATTACGGGTTTGGTGAAGACATTGTTTTCATTAAACCTCCTCTGTCTCTTGTGTAGCCTCTGAAGGCATTGGAAGCCTACCAACTGACTATTGGACTTTCCCGACAACTTGCTGATGCCCATGGATGTGCCAGCTCCCTCTGTCAATCTGCCAGTATTCTTTTAGATATGGGAACCCCTGAACTGGCTTTGGTAATGCAATTCTGTTATAATTATTTCTAGCAGACTTACCACCGCTCACGTGTAGTAAAGGATTTATTTTAAATCTTTGTGTCGTTTCTTTAGGCACAGCTTGAGCAAGCAGAAACCTTCCTTAACTCGGACTCCACTGCTGATGGACCCTCTTCTCTGTCTATGCTGACCGTTCTGTTGAAAGCTCAATACTGCTACATCACAGGACAGGCAGGAAACTCAGCTTATAACAGCATATTTATTGGATTGTATTTTTATTTTTTGCTTAAAGTGGAAATTCTATAACAAAATTTGTCATTTCTCACCACACAACAGGTTGACCTTGGGGTGCCTTATCTGTGTAAGGTGCTTAAAGAAGTGAATGAGCAGAGGCAGTCAAAGAGTTGGTACCTGCTGCGGGCTCGAGTGCTCCAGACCTGCAGCTCCTATCTTAGTTTGGACACGACTGCACTGCCACAAGCCCAGAGAAGTCTCATCACTCAGCCTGGTTAGCCAAAGCATTTTCTACAGGATTTCCTTCTTGATTTTGCATTTTGAGATTGTAGAAGTGAGGTTTGGAGTCATAACTATGTTCTTTTTACTAGGTATAAACGGCCCAGACACTGCCTTGTACGAGAGTCTGAAGCTTCTCTGCAGTCTGCTGGTCACTTTAGTGGGGAAAGGCCTTTACGGGACAAACAGCGGCAACGCAGACATGCGCTTTATTGACCAAGGTGCGTTTGTTCAACACTTGTACTGACAACAAAATGAAAGTATTCAAGAGTTTATAGATGATTATTTTAGGGCTGTGTGTAATGTAAACCCCATCTCCTTTGGTTTGTGAGCAGGAGATAACCTGGTGCTGAAGTGGCAGCTGCTCTCAGAGCTGTTAAAATGCTCCATGAAGATGGTGGCTGTGAGGAGCAGCTGTGGGGCCATCAATGATGCGAGGCTGCAATGCCTGGAAGCTCTCAAACTTGCCATCAAGCTCCAAGCACTTAGCCAGTGAGTACATCAGCTGAGTTTCAGTAACGATTTTGGCTTCTTACGATCATGAAAACAAGATATTCCAGATTAAAATATTTCTCTGCTGGATGGTGCTAGTTTTGTTGTGTGTGGTGAAAGTTTTATATTTTGGCCACATGAGTACATCACCACTACCTCTAAAACATAGTTCATTTATTTACATTTTATTGTGATCAAATATGATTATTTTTAAACATTTTAATTAATTTCACTTTTTTATTTCATTCATTACTCGTGTTTCAAAGTGTTCCCAATGTGAAAGTCTTAAAGGTGTTTAAATTCCATAAATTCATGGGTTGCGCATGTTGTCAAATCAATGGGTCATCGTGATCTCAATATCAATCAAAATACTCGTGATTATGATGTTTGCAGCCGTAGTCCACTCCCCTCCCCTCTAACAAATCCTACATTTATTTTTACTTATCTCCCGATTCATTATTTGCTTATCTTATCATAACTTTTTTTTTGTTTGTGCCATTTCTAGATGTGCTGAGCTGCTTGTGATGAAAGCTGAGTTGGAGCTGATGCAGGGGGAGGAAGAAGAAAGTGGAATTGATTTAGACAAAGTCAGAAACCTTATAGAGCTTTGCACAGGTCTGTTGATTGTACAGAATTGTACTGATTTAATGTTGTTCATTGTGTTTCAAATACAAACACTTGGTTTACAATATGTGGTTGTATTCCACT